TTAGGGACTTAAATGAGTATTTACTCTTAATATATATATATATATTGAACCAAGAGACAAATAAGCACCAACAACCAAAAAAAAAAAAAGCTGAAGTAAAATTTTTTATGACCGCACTTGCTGGCATTTGCCCGCAAGTGGGTTCGCCACTGCTACCAGCGCAGAGAAAACAACAGGGGAATCTGAACGTAGCGCTATTAGTGCTAAACTCGCACTAATAGCGTGACATTACTACGAATAAAAATCCTCTGGCGCTATTAGCGCGAGTTTAGCACTAGTAGCGCTCAAGATTTAGCCTTGGCTTTCTCCTATGCTTATGAATTATGCTCTTTTCTTGTACTTTCAACTACAAAAACACAAAATATTCACTGAGAAGAAATCTAAGCATGGTTTATCAACTTTATAACACATATAAGTCTTTTTACTTCAAAGTAGATTAAATCCTTACTCTTTTTATATCACCCACCAACTTGAGCGGGGGTATTATACCTATATTTATTTTAAGTCATCAACTTATTTGTAATCAGTTTTTTTTTCTGTTATCTGATTTGTTGTAAGTTTGTTATTTCGTTAGTTGTAGCCTTTACCATAATCGTTTTTGATAGCTGTAGCCATTTAGCTCTTGTATCAGCCTTCACTATAAATATGTGTAGTTGCTGCAACTTTAATCTTTCGATTCATTTTCTCATTCTTGAATATGAAGTCCAGCTCTGCTCTTCTCTCTTCTTTTTCTTTGGTTTACTTTATACTTATTTAATTTCACAAGTGGGGGCGGTGAAGATCGAATTCGTGACCTTGTGGTCACTGAAACTTTGATATCGTGTAGAAAATCACTTCAACCCAAAACCTTAAGATATTGGGTGACAGCTTTTTTAAAGATTTTATATTATGCTTTAACACTAGCGTTGATGAGTCCGACATTCCATTAAAACCTGTCACACAAAGCTTAATTTGATCAAGATTTATTACAGTTACAATTATATTTTTAAGAATAGATCAAGTGCAAAGTGCAATCACCTATATAAACTCAATGTCTTAATATTTTAAACTAAAACATGCATGGTATTTTAAACTCAATTCCAATATTGTTTAATCATAATTGTTATGAAATGTCGTCCGGCTCATCAATAAAAAAGATAACCTAATGTTACAATAAAATACAATAAGCATTGCTCACCAAAAAAAATAAAAAAATACAATAAGCATTTGAACCAGTATTCAATTGTGCTGGCCATGGCTTTCATGTATAAGGTTGAGCTACAGTTTCAATTTATAAAAGGGGATGTGATAAAAATAAAACATAGCAGTATATAGGCTATAATTGTTGAAGTTGTATTAATTCTAAGTATTAGAGTTGAAAAATTAAGAATAGTGTAATTTTGAAAATTATTTATCGAAGTAATATGATTTGATCACTTTTATTTATACCGCCTTGTAAATGTAACACGTCACTTACGTAGGAATGACACTGATCTGGATCCTTCTTAAAAGTCCAAGACTAAAAGCCCAAATCAAGAAGGGCCATTAAAAATTGCTTAAACAAAAGGGAAAACGCGCTAGGAAAGAACCCCGTACACATTTTAAATAACCGTTTGAACAGAGGTGAGATCAGCTACTTACTTCACAAGAGCCAATAAGCACAAAATAGCATTTGCTTGCCGCAAAAGCTGGGTCATTACGTAAAACTTAGCCATCATTACCTGCGACATGGTCTGACAAGCAAAAACTAGCCATCCTCACACCTCCAAATAAAAATAGATATTGTTATCAGAAACTATGAAACACCGACACTTCAAGAATTTTAATGTGTAGTGTTTGACACTTTTCGTTACTCATTGATATTCTGACACTTCATGACACTCCGGTATTCATTGCAAAGACTCAAAGAAGGTTCAAAAGTTACGTTGCATTGCATTTTGAGTTTCAACGATTAGATTCGTTACGATTATGATTTTATTGAGTTTAATATAAATATTTGGAATATATTATGTTTCTTTACAAAATTGATGGGTATTACAAGTTTAGCTTTATTTTTTGTTAAATTATTGAATACTAAATGTAATATACACTACATAAATTAAAAATATTATATAATATCAAAACGTGTCATAACATGTCAAAATTTAATACTTTTTAAAATTAATGTGTCAGAATATCGTATCGTATCGTATCTCGTATCTCATGTCGGTGTCGATGCAACATAAATCCAAAGTAACCATTGCACTATAAATACCACAGTAAAATGACTATGTCTTTTCAATAAGTTATTCCTCATCAATACATATCGAATTTCTCTCTAGTACCGTTATCGTAGAGTATCTTCTTTTTCATCTCATTTATATCTTTTATTATCAATTGTGTGTCATCAGGCCAATAATATTGGACTGATCAGACATATATTACATTTACGAAGCACATATGAAAAAAAACACTGTATATATTTAAGTTATATTATTTTAATAATATTTTCTTTAAAAAAAATGGCATTATTCTGGCCAATCACGCCTATACAAGCCATTTGTTCATCTGTAAGCTCTTGCTTCAGTCGCTTGCATTGTCTCCCAATCCCAAAGACGGAGTTCTAAGTTATGTATTCCTCCTAGTGTTTAACGTTGACAAATAACAATAATAATTAACAACCACATCTAAAGACTAAATCAACCTTCTTAGGCACGCTGACTATTCTAAGTTGATTTGAATTTTTTTTTTTTTTTTTTGGTACATGTGGAGGGCTAACACTCAAGGAAAAACAGAACAGGACTAACGATCAAGAGAAACATGAATTCGATCATCTAAGAGAGTTTCGTCACACCATTTGGTGGCCTATCAAGACGATGCAAACCGGGTTCTAGATGAGTAGCAAACTCAGCTAGCCCATGAGCACATTTATTCACTTCACGCGGCACCAGCGAGGCAATGACATACCCCTGCTTCTGCTTCCGTCCCTTGATTTTGAATTTTGGGTCTAATTCTTGCTTTGCATACTAATGAAAGATCTTGTTGGCGAGAAAGCCGTAGATGCATGGTTCCTCTGATTTATTGTAAAATAAATTTTTTAATAATTTGGGTTTGGATCCATGCTGTTAAGATTTTCTAAATCTTTTTTATATCCCATTGCAAATCAAGTGACTTGTAATGAGTGGCAATAAGGTGAATATAGTAGAAATAAGATGGACGTCTATGATGCATCGACACTCTAACACGCATTGCAGAGACTCAAAAAAGAGTTCAAATGTTGCGTTGCGTTTTTAGTTTCAACTATTAGATTCGTTGGATTACAATTAACATTTTATTGAGTTTAATACAAATATTTGTGTTATCTTATGTAATCAGTGGCGGAGCCAAGCTCCAATTTAAGCTCGGACCAAAAAATTATATGTGTATTTATTTTTCTTAATTTTAGTTAGTTCATATCATAATATATTTAAATTATATCAAATACAGAATACCTGAGCAAGCAGCATTAAAAAGAGTTTTTATAATTTTATTACATTTTTTAATTTCACTAAAAATAATTTTTTTTTATACAAGTGAAAATTAGATACATAACCTAATACAAGTTACGCAAATCTTTCACCAAAAATATTTTAAGTTTTACATAGGGCCAAATTACAAATTGTAACCCGGGTCAAATTACAGTTTTAATCCGGGCCAAATTATATGTAATAAATATAATTTGTTAAAATTTAGCCTAGACCGAGGCCACACCCACTCACCCAGGCTATATGTGGCTCCACCACTGCTCATGTTTCTTTGAAGATTGATGAGTATTTTAAGTTTATTTTTTGATTAAATTATTGAATATTAAATATAATTTATATTACATAAATTAAAAATATTATTTAATATCAAAACATGTCGAAATATAATATTTTTTAGAATTAAAGAGTTGAAATGTCATGTCGTGTCTCGTGTTGGGGTCGATGCAACATAACTAAACGTAATATACATTGAGTAAACTAGGGTAAATAATTGTGTTAAATCTCTCTTCCCTTTCTCTTTACTGTTTTTCGATTTCCATCATATTTCAATTACTGTGGCTGAGTCTCTATCATCTATTGCAATTCCTTGCAGCATCTCAATTGCATTAGCTGCATCTGAGGATGTAAATAGGATACGCTAGGCTAGGTTTTAGCTTAAATAGGTAAGATTTGTGTAAAAAATATTAGATATGGCTTGACTTATTAGCCTGTGTAGACCTCAAATTACAAGTCTGGACTGACATATATATAAAAAATAAAAGTCTTGGCCTAAGTTTGTTCGCCTCTTTAAACTTATTAAACATTCAACAATTAAAAGAATAACTAAAATAATATTATTTTATTATTCAAAAATTTTAAAATAATAATTTTATTTATTATATTTTAAATAAATAATATGATATAAGTCGGCTTATAAGTTTATAGGTCCGATATATACAAAAAAGTCTATGACCTGTTTTCTAAATAATTTTTTTAAAAGCCTAAATCTGCTCTATTTTATTATTTATAATAGATCAAGTCTGATCTAATATAGACTAGATCGTAGATCGGTCTAACTCATTAGCTACGTCACCCTCTATTATTATTTTTGGAATGCCAAGATTCCACGCGAACTCCATCCCTGTTAGGAGGAGGCCTTGTAAAAATAAAAATAAAAATAAATCGTGCCGTCTTTCAATTGAAAAAATATAGAGAGAGAGAGAGAGCGCGCGCGCGCGACATCGCTCATTTTTATTTTATTTTTTATAAGGATCAAGTTGTGTCACTTCGTGCAATGTGATCTCACTATATTTCTTATGAAGTATCACAAAATGATAAAATTCCTCGTTTACATCATCGATCACTCTCATTAATTCTTTAGCAATTACTAATAATTAAAAATTAAGGTATTCATAACTACCATTGTTTAATTAATGATTTAGATAGGGAAAATTATTTATCACTTCCATTCTTTACTATACATAAGACACTTGAGGATGTCTTAGCTCTCATTAATTTCCTGCACTACTGTCGCAAGAGATGGAGTTCCTAAGTTGTGTATTTCTCCTTGTGTTGACATTCACTCTTGCACAAGCTTTGCGTTCTCTGCTTTCAAGAGGCAAAAATAATGCAAAGTACAAGCTCCCACCAGGGCCTTCACCTCTTCCTATATTGGGAAACCTCCTTGCATTGGGGAAAAAGCCCCACCAATCACTGGCCAAACTTGCTCATATTTATGGTCCAATAATGAGTCTAAAGTTAGGACAAGTAACCACTATAGTTGTCTCTTCACCAGAAATGGCCAAAGAGGTTCTTCAAACCCATGATCAGTTCTTGTCAAACCGAGCAGTTCCCGAAGCTGCGGCAGTTCACAACCACGAAAAGTATGGCATTGCCTTCTTGCCTGTTTCGCCTCTGTGGAGAGACCTAAGGAAACTATGCAATACTCAGTTATTCTCCAATAAGTCTTTGGATGAAAGTCAAGAACTCAGGCGTAACAAGTTGCAAGAACTCATTCATGATATCCAACAAAGCAGCTTAATTGGTGAAGCAGTAGATATTGGAAGAGCAACTTTCAATACCGCGATTAATTTATTATCAAACACTATTTTCTCTGTAGATTTGTTTCAGTCTGCAGGTTCAGTTGGAGAGTTCAAGAAGTTAATTGTGAATATCATGGAAGAAGGTGGAAAACCAAACTTGGCTGACTTTTTTCCTGCACTAAGGAAGGTTGACCCACAGCGCATTAAGAGTCGCAACGGTTCCTACATTGGGAAGATCATTGACATCAGCAGCCGTTTGGTTGATCAACGGTTGAAGCAAAGGGAAGTTCAAGGTTTTGACACAAACAATGACATGCTGAATACCTTGCTCAACATTGCTCAAGACAACACTCAAGAGATGGACAGAACCCAAATTGAACATTTATCTCTGGTATTCTTTCTATTTTCTCTAATCTTATTATGGGAAATAATTATCTCATGCAACTGATAAAGTAATGTGGTCCATTTTTTTTCAAATGATGGATTCCACTATTTTGTCTTTGTTGTATGAGATAATTATATCATGCAACATGAGATATTATAATGGGAGGAGGGGTTGCGTTAACTTTATAATATAAAAATATTTGATTTTTATTGATTAAATTGTTAAATTATAATTATTTAGTTTGATTATTTATGTCAAATCTCATAAAATTTTCGAGATAATAAAAATATAATCAAATAATATTTATTTTTTACCTATTTTAAAAATTTATGTTATGTTAATTTATATGTTCATAAAATATTAAATAACTTTAAAATAATGTAAAATTTTATTTATTTTATATTTAATGTAAAATCTTATAGATAGTTATTTGTGTGACATGAACTTTCAATAAATTTTATAATATAAATATTCAATAAAAATTTATTCAACGATATAAAAGTAATTTTGATTTATACTCGTCTAAATGAATGCATTATTTAATATAGGGGAAGTATCTGTTTAAATTTTTTTTTTACAAATTACACTAAGTATGACTGGTCATACACTTTTGATTGAAGTATGACCGGTCAGACTTAGTGTAATTTGTAAGAGTTTGTAAACAAAAAGTTTGTAAATATAATCTTCCTCTTTAATGTATATGTGTGTGTGTTTTATTAGGTTAATTTATAGATATAATTTATGTGACATGAATTTTTAATAAATTTATAATCTAATTATTTTAAAATGTAAGAATGATTTTATTTTATTTTATTTTAACAAGAAATGGCTTAAAGAACGTCAGAAAATATTAACTATTTTATTTCTACCCACTGACGCAAGGTCTGCAACAAAGAAAGAAAACTAAGAATGATTTTGATTAAATGAATTCATGCTTTTATATATGTTATTTGTGGGGGGATTTTAGCAATTAAATGTTCTGCTTTTGACAGTTCAACTGCTGATTTTTCAACAGTTAACTGTTGTGCTTTTAAGAGTGCAATTGCTGATTTTGTTCACTCCATGATTATGGTTTTACTAGACCCTATTTCTCGGGGGAACGGATACAATTAAATCAACGGTAGAATGGACAATGGCAGAATTACTCAAAAATGAAAAGGCTATGTCAAAAGTGAAACAAGAGTTGGAGCAAACCATTGGCAAAGGTAAACATGTTGAGGAATCAGATATTGCAAGGCTTCCTTATTTACAAGCTGTAATAAAGGAGACCTTACGATTGCACCCTCCCGTCCCATTTTTAATCCCACGGAAAGCCATTGCAAATGTGGAGATTAGTGGCTACACAATCCCAAAAGATGCAAACGTGCTAGTCAATGTGTGGGCTATTGGCAGAAATTCAAGTATCTGGAAGAATGCAAATGTGTTTTCACCAGAGAGGTTCTTAAGCTCAGAAATTGATGTTAATGGTCGCCATTATGAGCTAACACCATTTGGTTCTGGCCGTCGAATTTGTCCTGGCTATCCGTTGGCCTTGAGGATGCTGTATTTGATGTTGGGTTCACTACTCAACTGTTTTGACTGGAAACTTGAAGATGGTGTGAAAATAGATGATATGAACATGGACGACAACTTTGGTCTAACTTTAGGAAAGGCTCAACCTGTGAGAATTATTCCAGAGAAAATAAGCAATTCATGTCTCTGAAATGCTGAACGTTATGCAATAAAATAACGGCTCAAGTAAAAGTCCAAAATTGTGGCTGACTACAATGTATATAGTTAGCCAAGTAAAGGCCGTATTACAATGTTTTTGTGTGTCTTATGTAATTTGCACCGGTCATTTGGCTTGGCCGAGGTATTTTATCTCTGGTTTAACTGCTTAAATAAGATATCTATACAAATATTTTAACAAATGAGCCTAGTGATTAAAGTTGTAGGTATTCACTATGGAAAATGATCTGTTTATAATTTTTTTTTACAAATTACACTAAGTATGACCGGTCATACACTCTTAATTGAAATATGACCAGTCATACTTAGTAAAATAGTTTATAAATATAACATTCTTCGTCCATCGTAACTTGACATGAGTTGGAAACCCATTATTACACGTCTTCAAATATTTTAGAAAATTTTACAAAGACCACAAGTTTATAAGCGATCCAATGGTTCGATACAAGTTCAATTGCACAACTGTCTACTGACTGCACTGGATCGATTGGTGATCCGGTTCCCAATTAAATTGACCATGTCAATTAATTCGGTACAGTCTGGTTTTAAAAACAATAATTTTAATTGATGGTTCTCCTATTATTAATTATTAGTTATAAGTATTGACACTAATATTTCATAAATAGCTTCTACTTTTTATTATTCAATTATGAATTGTACTTTTGTAACACTTAATTTGGTAACTTGATTTTGTTAGATTTATTTATTAGAAATAAGCGAAGTCTATTCATGTTTCCGTGCATATATATGATAAACTGAGCAGAGCAAGAAAATTGACTTTATCAACCCTCATTTGTTAAGTGGTAAAAAAAAAACTTGTTTCTGTTATGAAAAACACGCGTTTTACATTGTGAATATTGACTACCTTAAGTAGGGGTTATTAGGTGTCATCAGATGCTTTTGTGATTACAACCTTTAGCATTCATGAATAACTGTACTGTATTAACCTACTGCTACACATATCAGTGTTATTAAAATCGGATCAGACCGACTGGTTTGACCCAAAAATCGGTGAATCGGTCCTTTGACCGGTCCGAATAACGTATCAGATCGCTTATGCAAGTCAACCGGATTAAACCGGTGTGACCCGACGGTTTTCTCAAAAACCAACAACTCGGTTGACCCAGAAGAGACGCAGAGGAAGCAACCCGCAGTGTCCAATAACAACTACATACGCAAGAGTGTCCTTTGAGTGTTTATAAAGAATATATTTGTTTCTAAATTAAGCGATGTGGAACCCGTAATAACCAACCCTTAAGCTTTGTCTTCCACAACAATGGTGTTCCAGTTTCTCTCTCTCCCAAGGTTCTCACTCTCATGTTCGAGCTTTGTCTTCCACAACATTGGTGTTCGAGTTTCTCTCTCTCCCAGGTTCTCTCTCTATCATGTTCGAGTTTCTCTCTTTCGTTCAATCTTTTCTGTGTTTTGTTCCAACTATTTTAAGTGGCACTGCAGTTGCTTCCCATCTCTAAGCAGTGAAAACACTACTAATCCATCTCGTATGAGAACATTGAGTTATTGAAGTACTGGTTCATCTTGTATGGAGACATCATGTTTACAAACCCATATCCTACATTTCACTTGTTGCTGTATGTTTCAACACGAAACATTTGTTGTTCACTTGGAAAATACAAATGGTTTTATTCACTATAATAAATGGAAAGGAGAATGGGGTCATACAAATGGAAAATACTTGAAATCAATGGGAACTATTAGTATTTATTCAGAACATAATAAAAGTAAATTGTTTTATTAGATTATAAATATAATTTTTTTTTCTCTCTATAAATATTAATATAATAAATGATATTAGATTATATTATCTTTTTTTTTTAAATTTTGAATATAAAATATAAATTTATATTTATTTATCCGGTTTAAGCAGTGACCCACTGACCCAATACCTCGACCGGTTCGATCACCGATTCGAGTTTCATAACATTGACACACATTATGTACATTATAACTTCTCCCTTGATTCTTATATACGTCTCCTTATGAAGATATGAATAAGAAAAGGAAAATTCCTGAAGAACTAGACTTTATATTCTTGTTGTCTTAGATCTCTATCTAAACCTTTATTTTCTCTTTCTCTTTATTTTATAACATGTTATTAACACGATCAAGTCTCTAGTGACATAGCCAAATCCTTATTTTCTTCAAGCGTGAGCATCTTGCAATGTTTATATCAAGTTGAAGATTATATTGAAAGTAATGTATTCTTATCATTTTGTTTTGGATCAATCTAATCCATATTTCAATTATTTCGTATAAATTTCTTCATGTTATTTCAAGTATAAATGAGTTTTTTATTCTCTTTATGGAAATTTTATTGTCAAATATTGTTGACTTACATGTTTTAACTTATAATGGATTTGTTAATTTCATTAAGTTCTTGAAGAAAATACATCTTAAGCATCATTAAGCATTGTTGAAGGATTGCACAAAATCAATTAATATTGGTTTCCCTTTGTCATCATATATGAATATTTGTGGTATAGTTCTTGAAGAACTATAGCTTTATACACCATGATTGAAAAAATCCAATCAATCTTTAGAACAATTTGAAGAAAGATATTTAGAGAAAACATTTTTTATATGCCTCTAATTGAATATGTTCCATCAATAACAATATCGAGTCAAATTGTTCAAGAAATATTCTGAGTGAAGTTTATACATTTTTTTGATTGAATTAAATATAATAGTGAGTTGTTGATAAAAAAAAAAAACCATAAAATGAATGTTCCAATTGGATGAATTTCAATTCTTAACCAATGAGTTTAACTCTATTTCCGGATGTTCCAAAATATCATTTTAGACATAACAAACATTATGGTTATAACCAATAGCCATATATATGGCTGAGGTTGAAAAAAAAAATTCTAATATTTAGGAAAGAATACTATACATATTAAGATAATTTTCATAAAAATTATTTATTTAACCTAGCCTTATTAATATCATGCACTTGTACATACTTATTTATTTTATTAATATTTTGATGGAATAGATCATTTTATTGGTAAAGGAAAATAATTAGTAGTTTATTATTGACGTTTCAATGTATTTGATTTATATTATAAATCTCATTTGCATTCCTCTTTCCTTTACTATTTTGTAATATTTTAAATACATCAAATATGATATGATTTTTGGGATATTTCTCTCTTTTTTTTTTTTTTTGGTACATTGCTAGGAGTTATCCCCATTCAACCTTCTCCGGGCACCATGCCCTCGGGGTACGGCCCGTTTGGGCTAGCCCCTCATTGTAACAGTGGGTGCACTAAGCTTCGCAACCAGAGAAAGGACGAGACTAATCCCCCAACCGAAGATTTTTTGGCTTATCCTCTGGCCCCCAAAGATTTTCCAAGAAACTGCTTGAGGCAGTGTTTGATCCCTGCTCCAAGCAATCCCTTGGGAGCTCAGCTGCCAACTGAGCTACCCTTGGAGGTTGGATATTTCTCTTTATTGACTCAAGAAAATGTTTATTTCCATTTGTAGATAGATAAATTAAAGATTGATGCATATAACGCAGATTCAATTGAAAGCTCTAAAGGAGCTTATTTAAGACAAACATCAGCACAATTTCTGTCATGACAAACTTGATTGAAGGTTTTGGAAGAGCTTGTATTATGTTATTTGAGGATCAAAATCACTAATAAGTGACACTATACTCTATATCAAAGAGAGAAGTCTACAAAGTTTTAAAGAATATCAAGAATGCAAGAGAAAGAGATATCGAATACCTTCATATCATGTCTTTCAAATTTTGCCACAAGATCGTATTTGGGAAGGACAATGTAGCGGCCCAATATCCAAGTAACCGGTCCACACGCACGAGGAAGAGCCCACCATATCTCAAGGGCTACGTTCGCTAGTCTTGGGGCTACAGAGACAGAACCCAACAGCATTAGGATTATTATTAGATAATTATTTAAATTCAAGTTGTTATCAAATAAAGCTATTAGTTGGCTAATTGATAGGATATCTCCTAAACTTAGGATTAGTTGTTATTTGCATTCTGTTATTTCAATTACTGATAGGATTAGTTATTATTTGCTTCTGTTATTTGAATTACAGATAGAGACTAGGATCTCTATAAAAACGTCAAACACAAGGATGAAAGGAGAGCAGTGATTTGACAAAATTTCTTCTTCCTTCCCTTTTCCAATTTTCCCTTCCTCTAATCTTCTCTATTCCCTTTTTCCTTTCTCCTTCCAACATTTGGTGCTTTCATTCCTGAACTCCCCTCCATGGGCGAAAAAAATACACGCATGACACAGATGCAAGACCAGATAAATGGTCTTTTGCAGCAACAGGAAACCACAGAAGAACGTCAACAGGCGTTCCTTCAACAGCTACAACAGACGACTGCCGAGCAGTTTAATACCATGACGGATCGTTCAATGGAACGCTTCCAAGCCGAGATGACCCGCATCCTCCAGACACACCAGGCAACTCCAAACGCAGGCGGCGTCTTGGGGCCAGGCCCACACCGAATAGATCCCCCTCGCCCTAAACCAGTACAGTTAATTTTTCCCCGCTACGGCCAAGGAGATCCCACAGATTGGATATTTTCGGCTGAACAATATTGCGATTATTACACAATTCCAGAGGCCGAACGAGTCCGTATAGCATCCTTTCACCTTGATGCACCCGCCAACAGCTGGTACCGAAACCTCTCTCGTGAAGGGTTACTCACAACATGGCGTGAGTTTAAAGCTGCAATACTAAGCCGATATGGGCCAACGGCCTACGAAGATCCAGCAGGGGCCCTTTGCAAGCTGACACAAACGGGTACTGTCCGTGAATATCAAATAGCTTTTGAAGCTTTATCTTGTCGGGTAACAGGCATTCCCGATACACTCCGCAAAAGTATATTTATTGCTGGCCTAAAACCAAAGGTGAAAAGCAACGTCCAAGCCCATTTACCGGCGGATTTCCATGCTGCCTGGGGACTAGCAAGAAACTATG